AATAAACATCTCCAGTATTCTCTCCAGACTCCAAGAGAAGATTTTCCACCAAGCTTCTCGGTAAAAACTGTAAGATCAGCAACTGAGAAACTGTGAACATATATAGTTTTCTGGAGTGTTTATCGCAGACTGATAAGACTTTAATTCTCTTTTCTGCTGATCTTGCTTTCCACATGCACCAAAATAATATGAATATGTTCAGGTACAGATTTTTAAGCCAGCACAAAAAGCTTCATCAGTTGTGCTCATTGTGTTTTAAACCCAACAACAATTTACTTTGTGCATCATGCTATAATTTCAGTGCTCTGTGGAAACATACTCTCCTGCAAAAAACGTATCCATGATTTCTTTTCATAGTGCATCTTCAACAGGAAATCTCAAACTGTGAAGGAGAGTTTTCCTGCAGCAAATGGTGAAAAAAGTCCAGACCAAATTGTTCACACATTCTACTGAACATTTCTGCCACATTTCTTTGTCCTACTGGGACTTCACTGCAGGTTGTAATTGCAGTAACGTCTGGCTGGAGGTGAAATGAAGACACAGTTTTGGAGACTTAGGGTTTGAAAAAAAAACCTATTTGAGGTTTTGGAGGAGTGGAAACTACACAGTGACTCCTGAAGATGAACTGTGGGCCTGATATAGATCTTGGAAATGTTGAACCTGTTCAGGAAAAATAAATCATTTTCTACATGCAACTCATTTAAAAATATTGTTTTTAATATGCTATATTTCCAAAATATAATGTGCTTGAGCTTTATACATAAATTATAGTTAGATTTTATACATGATTTACTGTGTGTGTCAAGTTTGATGGTAAATTTGACCCATTAATGCAGATTTACACAAAGACAAAGGTAAGAAAATGATTTAAATATTCCAAAACAAAGAGTTGTGGCAGCATATTTCTTACAAAACTCCTATTTGAACTGTCTGAACTTCATTAAGATAAACAGTCCAGTCTGCCTGAAAAAAATCAACTATTATGACTTATCTGGATCTGAATCCCCCGTTTGGCCTCGGCTATGAGCTGAATATCAAATGTCTCCTAGGACATGGGTAACTAGGGAAAAAACTTTGTCATGTTCCAAGCTGAACATGTTGCCCATCGTATTTTCTGGATCAGCTGACCCAACATGTTTGCATTCATCCACTCTGTCTATTTGGTCACTTGACTTCAGCAACAAAATTATTATTTTTTCTTTGTCCAAAATTTGCAACAATTTTCTTCTATAGTCTTCTGTCAGTCACTGTGACGCACAAAGCTAAATTAAACCTGCGTTGCTTTCTTTTTTTTTTTGGTTGCTATGAGAGCACTGGGAGCATCAAGGAGCTCTTACCCTCATGGTACTTGCTCACAGGTGTTTTCACTTGTACCAGCTCACAGAACCTCTTCTCTGGAATTTGTGGGTGTGCAGAAAACTGCCTCTACGTTTGACTTTTCGTTTAGTTTTCAAACTGAATCAAACTAAAACTTCACGGTAAAAAAAAAAGAAATACATAAATAAAAAAGAAGAGAGAAACTGCTGCTGCACAATTTTAGTATACTATAGTGTAGGGGTGCCCACAATTTTTCAGCACGCAAGCTCCTTTTAAAATGACCAAGTCAAAGTGATCTACGTGCTATAAGGCCCCGTCTACACAAGAACAACCTCTGGAAACGTTTGTGTTTTTTCAATGTTTAATGGGAGTAAAAAAACAAAAAAAGAGTGTGTTTACATGAAAAACACTGCAGTATACATGTCAGTCAGGTTGCCAGATAAGAAATTATGAACTATAGCACTGTCACTTTAAAATTACAGTATTTTTATCTAAACTATCATATGTGCTGAGTAAAAATATTCTAAAATGAGGTGTGTGTTGTGTTTGTTGAAAATGTGCACAGAAAAGGAGGAAGACATTTTAAATTTATCTGGCAACCCTGAATTTCAGGGCTCATTTGCATTCATTGTGCATGCAGCATCTTCATGACCGTTACGTCCAAACTGGTGAATACACGGATGTCTCTTTGGACCCTGGGTTTTATTAGTTTTGCTCCTACATGCTGAAAAAGGGTGAGCAGCACAAAAACACTCTGCTCTCTGCCATTTATTATGACTGTTGTTAGTGCAGACACACTTTGGACTGCAGCCGCCTGTAGTGCACACGTGTGGCTTTACACACAGAGAATTTCACACCTTTGAGGGGAGGGGGTTTCCCCCCAAAAAATCTTCACTCTGAGACCTGGTATGTCAATCAAGTGACACATTCATAGTGAGGATAGATGATAGGCTGACGTCTATTTTTTTAATGCCATGCGATCTACCCATAAAGCCTTTGTCATTGAACGGTAGATGCGATCGACGTATTTGGCACCCCTGCTATAGTTAATTCCCAACTTCAAAATGTACATAAAAATTCTGAACGCATATATAAAAAAAAAGTTTTAGCCCATTATTGTCGCTGTTCCTTTCCTAAACTGGCATGGGTAAAACTTCCCAGTAGTTGCAAAGCCAAACAGAACTGCTTCAAAAACATCTTAAAACACAATATGACATACTTTGTTACTTTTGGAAATATACTGAGTTTGGTTGTAGCTCCTGATTCCTGCTTAGGCAACAACGACTAAAGGGAGACATTCTCCACATTTATTGTGTTGTGCTCAAGGTCGACACAGCTGAGTTCTGCTCCATGCCTCTTTTGGTTCTGCAGTGCCTCATTCATTTCTAAAAGCTCACTTCTACGTGGGACGTGGACGGCTCCATCAGTGATTTGTGAATGAATAGAGGCAGCATAAAGAGACTGGTTTTTTGCAGACGTTTCTCAAAATGTTTTGAGAAGATGCCTTTTAAAATATTATTTGAATAGACCTGAAAGCTGCTGGATGCTTGTGACAAATCAGCACCTTTCAATTTTATTAAAGAAAAAACCTACATCACTCAGCGTTTGCAGTTGCATCTATGCTTTTTGTCCATCATAACCTCTTTTTTTCTGACTCTGTGTGAATTGCCATTCATCGTCAACTCTGTTGAATAAGTGGTACTGGCAAGTTTGTGTAGTTTTTTTTTTTTTTTTTTTTAAAGTACCACACTTGCAAAGTCTGTATACTGAATATAACCTATTTTGTCTGCAATGCAGATATTTTCTTACTTGCCATTTCCTCAAAAACAAAAAAAAAGGAATGTTTTTTTCTAACCTGCCTTACATTTTCCTATATATGTATGTAAGTGTATTGTTAATTTAATCATTAGAAAATACTGCCTCTTTAACCTGTTAAAATGTAATTTGCAAAGTATGAACTGTCTGGTGCAGTAAAAGCTTTGCTGTGATTTAAAGTTTAATTTCAGCTGTTTTCTTCCTGCAGTCCTGAGCAACCAAACAGCTTTGGTTTGTACATTTTTTACTCAACGCATTTATTTCTTGCTGTGCCACTGACAAAACTAATTAATAGTGATGTAGCTCATCCCATGACACAATGACGGTCCATGCTTGCTGACCAGCTGAAACCTGTCAGATCCCTTTGTCTCCATTATGTGTTAGAAAATGAAGAAATAAATAAAGATCCTGCTGTACAGAGATTTAATGGCTTAAGGCTCTGTGTGAAACCACAACAGGGAAGAGCCTCACTCATCACACCATCAACCAGGAAGTACCGGAAATCATTTTCACCTTGTATTCACCTCTTACTGGGCTCATAATTGCAGTAGATAGGTGCGCTCAGGGTCTAGAGTCCATTACTATATGCCCATGGACAATGATTAATGGTCTGTTGAGAACTAACAGCAAGCGGATGCTCTCAAGCGGCGTTCATGGGCTCATCGCTGCCACCAAACATCTGAGCACTTTAGCAAGACCTTGTCATGCTCTTCAAAAAGTTGACAAAAAGTGTAAATGTATGTGCACAGTCACATGTCTCTGGATGCATGTGTGAAGCAATATTGCATGCAGTCACCATTATCATGACACCTTACTTAGATCAGTCACTATAAATAATAACATTGTTTATTTTTTCCTAAATCTGATTAACTCTTTTTCTAAAAACAAAGTTCATGTTCTATCATCGAGGTTCCAAATCCAATAAGTCTCAGTTGGGTCATCTGGACAGTTTCTTTTTTTTTTTTTTACAGATACCAGGATTTGGTACTTGGATGATTGAGCATGAACTTTGTTGCCTTGAACCACTTTGGCTGTGGCTGCCGGCCTGGGAGGAGTCGACGAGGGACAGGACGGCCCCCAGAAACCATCTTAGCTCCAGCAAACTGGTTGGTCCACTTAAGGAGTTTACTGCTTGGTGGGGAAACTACTGTAACTCTACTGACTGATGAAGCCCTCTGGATAGAGAGTGAAACGTCTCTATAAAAAATAAACTGTCCAGATGACCTGACTGAGAATTATTGGAACTCTTTTTCTAGTTTTACAATAAACTCCTGTTATATTCATTAATCACTCAGTGGTTTGTCTTTGATGGCATTGAGCATTACTAAAAAGGTTTGTTAGATATTTGTATTGTGGAGTACCGAGATCAAAAGCTTGCCATTGTTTCTGGCTTTTCTTTTGGCGGACCATTTGGTTTTATGCTTCTGTGCTTTTGAATTGCAGTTGTGAATCCTCTTCTGCTTCCCCCTCAAACCTGGGTTCTGCCTCTGATTGCTGCTCACCTGTTGTTCAATTGTCATCAATGTTTGGCCTCCTTTGCTCTCTGCCAGATCCGTGTGTGGGCTTGTTTCATCACCTGTTTCGATTCTGCTTTATTATTTCCTGACCTGTGTGGACTTAGCTGTTCTAGATTATCTGATCCATAGCAATTTAAGTTCTGGTCCATTTGAGAGTAATTGGAGACTTTAATCATTCAATCAGACTGTCGTCTGTGATTTCTGCATCTGGACCCTTTGTCATCACAAACCCATTCACGACAGAACTATGATATCGTCATGGAAAATATTAAATCTGCTTTAAGGATTTGTTTGCTCTAAATTTGTACAAAAAAAATAAAGAAAGCTGTGCTTTACTGATGCTTAACTTACCGATGGGGCTGGCTTCCCTCCTTTCGCTGTGCACACAAGAGTGAAATTCTGGGCTTGGTATCGACTGAAGGGGGCTGGAGTGTTCTCTGCCACCACTGATATATTGTTTGGTGGAGCTGTGGAGGACAGGGGAAACTGTGAAACAATATCCTTATACAGTGAAAAAAAAAATAATGCACCATCATGCATCCCTTAACTGTCAGAAAACATTAGCCTCCTCTCTCTTAAAAGCATCTCATTGGTTATTTTGTAATGAAATGTCATCTAAGGGTTGTATATGTAGGTGGAAACTATGATGCCAATACTGACAGCATAGTGAGAGTCAGAAAAAATAAAAAATAAAAATAGGAGATCTGAAACACTAACTTGCTTTATCTTTATTGTGTTTGTTCTCAAAAGAAACCAAGAACCTGCTGAGAGATGCTCTAAGAATGAAAACTGAATCTGGGCAATACATAAGCTATACGGTGCAAAGTTTCACACTTATACCACAAAACCAGCCATAGAAATATTTCCAAGAATTCTAAGTATGTCACATGTAGTGAAATAGGAAAAAAAAATACATAAACTGATCATCACTTCACAGCATTAGAGGGTGAGATAGAGAAAAGAGGGTAATGAATGAAAATCTACATTCATGCTGGTGAGCATGCTGTGCTCTGGTCCTTGAACAGGAACGTTCATGCGAGTGTGAAGTGTGCTGGTTTAAACACAATTTTCACATGATAGCGCTGCAGCAGAGGATTTCAGGCTGCACAAATCAGATGACGACTGCGTGAGTTCAAACATCTCAAAACATTTCATGTAGATGCAGTTTTTTTTTGTTTTTTTTTTACTTGTTCCAAATGTCTACATTTCATCCCGAGGCTCGTTTCCCTCCTTTGTGCTTATTGTAGGCATTTAACAATTGTTCAACATTTCCCTCAAGATTTGTGAGGGAGATTTCATGAATAATAAATCAGACCCAAGCTGTAGACACAATGAGCAGCATTAACCCACTGTATGAGAGAAGTCCCGAGAACTCATCAGAAATTACACTTTATAAATACACTTGTTACAACTTAAAGCAGATATTGCAAAAAAAAAAAAAAAAAAAAAAAAAGTCACAGTGGGAGCCATGAATTTTTTAATGTGCCAGTTTTATGTCTAAATCTATTAAATGCTTTTAAACAGACATACCACTGCAATTAATTGATTTAAAGTAGGTGGGGGGTTGTAAGGGGATTTAGCTACAGAGGCCCGGGTGGCTCTGTGTTTCCACATCTCTTAATTGCTTATTGATGGAATTCATATGGTTGTAAATTAACCTTAGAACACTCCATTAGCCAACTGACAAGCCTGTCTCAACCTGGCATATGATTAGCTGTCAGAGGTCTGCTCTTGACACGCTCAGACAGTCAACGCAAAATCTGTGCATTTTAAATTGTGCACAGTGAAGCTGTACAACACGCAAGATGTGTCAAGTGAAAATGAATTACTTGATTAAACAATATTGATTAGTTCATTGTTTTAAGGGGCTTGATTTTTGGATTTTGTCTCTTTCAAATATGTGTATTGTATTTTTAGGCCTGTAAGTCACAGTTTTTTGCATAATTTGCATGCACTGCGACTTATACACTGAAGCGACTTATTTATGTTTTTGCCCCCATATATATAAACCAATTTTTGGCTGAGATATGACCGTTATCATTCATTCGGATATTGAAAATATTAAACACTACCATTTTCAGCTGATATATGGCACTCGAGTTGTAGGGCATGCCGTTGTGTCATATATCAGAATCAGAATAAGCTTTAAAATCATTGCAATGGGATACAACGAGAACATGTACGTACAGTCGTCCGAAAGATGGGCGTAGTGCACAAAGTTTCTGCTAATTAGCACGGCCCTTTTATTCTTATTCAGGATAATATTTTTGCTTAGATGAGAAAAGGGACGAAAACATGAGGAGAGAAAGTACTGTATTAAAAAAAAAAGATCTCTCACACCTTGTTCTAGACAGGGCGCGGTTTGAGGCATCAAAAAAACCTAATACAGCAAAGCAACATAAACATGATACATATAGGTAATAGGTAAAAGTAAATATTAATGACACAATTGGCTTGCCATAGCCTGCCACCTTCATCCAGCTCTGGGATAATGCCTGTAGCGACCGTCAAATCAGCTTCATTTTGCTGCACTGCCACGGCAAAATGCAGCTAATTTGACAAATGAAGTGCATTTATGAAGTAAAACTTCAATTGAGACACACCTTTACTATAATTTTGAGCAAACAAATAATTGTCTTTAGGTGTTAATCTTGTTAAATTTTGTTATTAAGTCCTCCTCTGCACGGTCCTGTGTCCGCCATTTGGCAGCCAATCGATTTTTGGCACAACACTGGCCCACATTTCTTGGTTGTCAGCGGTGACGCATAATAGATGCGACTTATATGGCGGTGCGACGTGTACAGCAGAATATACGGTAGTTCTTTAAAAAAATCTGCAACCTGCTTCCAAATACACTACATGGCAGTTCATAATTATAAATAATTTACACAAAATAAGCATTAGGAATAGTAAAAAAAATGGGAGTTTGAATGTATAAACTTTGAATAAAAAGCAACCTTATTAGAATTCTGTTTAATTGTTTGTTTCTCTTTGATCAGTATTGATGCTAAAACAAATAATCACCTATGCTAGTTAAGCAGGAAAGTTGCACATTGATCAGGATGCTCTGTTGTTCTCTGTTGTATGGGTGGGGGGCACCTAATAGAAAACTAAGCCTGAGACAGCAATAATCCTTGGCGAAATATTTGACATGATTAATACCGAGACCTGCTGTGCACAGCACACTATTTGCAAACACAACAACCCTGTCCAGGATTAAGATGGTTGTCTGTGATGATGAAGTCTAAGCCTTTCATACTTCATTAAATTACAGATCTCTCTTTATGCTTGTTAAAGATTCAGCTCCTTTTTAAGTGACATAATTCTTGGTTTTACTGAGATCCTCGTACTACAACTCTAATCTGATGAGCTAATTCAGTTTTTTTCTTTTGACATGGACACAATCCAACACTTGGAGCTAATGTTGACGCACGGCTTATACAAACTGAGGAAGATAAAATGTCAAATGGAATGCAAAAACAGTAGAAAAAATAGTTTGAATCTAAAATATACAAGAGTTTCAAAAAAGGATGTATGAAATGAAGATTTTTAAATCCTCAAACATGTCAAGATGCTTTCAGGAACAATTTATTTTCATCATGATTATTATTTTTTTTTTTGTCCCGTGTTTTTTTCATTTTTTTATTTTTGCTTTGTAGTTTCTATGTTACCTTTTTTCTTTGTTTTATTTCTGTTTGGTTTGGTTTCTGCTCTACCAGCAAACTTGTTCCATGTATTTGAATACCACACCTGCTTTACATTCAGTCACTAGTCCTGCAGTTTTCATATTATCAGTTGTCATTTTAAGTTATTTTATATATTAAAAAAAAAAAACTTCAGACAATGCATAAAAAAATATTAAGTATAATGTGAGTTCATAAAAATTGTTTACAGTTGATCTTATATTTTAGCTAAGTTTTTTATTTTATTATTTTTTATCTTTTTATTTTTTTATTAATTCATCTTGCTTTTGTATAGTAATTTTGTTTGGAATATATTTTGGGGACAAGGGGCAAATTTTATAAGAATTCATTCTTCTTCTGCTGCCTTTCATTTTATTTCTGTGATTGTATATCTTTTTCTTTTCTTTAAATTGTATTATATTTGTTGTTTGGATGAAATGAAATGAATAAATAAAACATACATACATACATACATAATTGTGACACAACATCAATTATTTGCCTGGTTTAAAACACCTACTGCACAAAACTCTGTCTCGATTCCATTAACTAATAAAAATACAGATGTTGTCCATCTTCAGTCCAGCAGTTTGCTCCCTCTTATTAAATACATTTGCACGCCATAGAAATAAAAGCTGCATTTTCTCCCTTTTATTCCTGATAGCACCATCATTCGCATCAATATTAATTTCTACTTCCATCTCTTGTTTACCAACACCTTTTTTGTTCTTTACCCTAAAGCACCACTACTCTGGTATCCTTTAGACAAAAAAAAATAAGAATAAAATGACAAAACCTGTAAATGGACATGTGAATAAGCAAAGCAGGACCATGCACACTTCTCAAAAGAAACTGTTTTCTTCCCCTGTCCTTACCTGGGCTTCTTGTTAAGGGATGTGGAACTCCTGGAACAATTAGACCTAAAAGAAATGCTGGAAATAGCTCTTTGCACTAAGTACCCAGGTCTGGCTTCTGGTTTGATATCTCAACTTGAAAGGCTAATTACTAAAAGGGCACAATGGCTTTTTCAATTTACAAAATCATTTACATGAAACCCAACTATTGTGACTTGATGTTCCAAAGTAATCAACGTGGATTTTTAATAATTGTACCCAGCAGTGCATTGCTGCAAGGCATTTTGATATTCAGTGTGACATATTATCTAAAAAATAACTCCCTAAACATGTGCTTTAAAAAAAAATCACATTGCTGTATGGGTTTTTGCTTATGTTTTGAGGTAACACTGAAATATAGATAATCAGACGTACATCCATTTAAGGGTACCGGATAGTAAGGGATGGGGAGAAGTTTCAATTAAAACATGTTATACATAATTTATCTAAGCAGGGTGTTGTTGCCTTACAATATTTTATCGTTACTTTTCATGTGTGATATTTGTAAATGTATCACATTCAGTAATAAAAATGTCCTTATTTCCTCTAGGCTTAAAATACGAAACTTCAGCACAAATGTTAAGCATGCAGTCTCATTACTGTTAATGAGGACAATATTTTTTTTAAGTTTTTCTTTAAATTCGATTAGACATTTCTGCAGTGCAGACAGCTGTATTTCTAAACTATGTTCTCAAGGGGCACAGTGCCCTGCATGTTTTTAGATGTTTACCTACTTCATCACACTCGATTTAGACTGATGGGTCTTTAACAGGTTTCTGCTGAACTTGATGGCAAGCTGTTCAGGTAATTCATTTCCTTAAATTAGGTGTGTCAGAGCAGGGACATTTCCAAAACGTGCAGGAGAGTGTACCTCACAGATTAGGATTGGGA